AACTAAGCCTTCGCGGCTCCAGTCATCCCCGCTCCTCTGTTCCTCTCTATCTCGTGTCTCCGCCGCCATGTCAAGAATCTTGAATATGGTCACCGGTGCGTACTACCTACCGGACGATAGCAAGAAACATAGTCCATTCGGAGAGGATTCTTACTTCATTTGCGACGAAAAATGCACCATCGGTGTTGCGGACGGAGTGGGCGGTTGGGGAAGAAAGGGTGTGGACGCCGGAAAGTATGCTCGCGAACTCATGATCAACTCTCATCTCGCCGTCCAGAAGCACACCAATGGAGTCATCGAGCCCAAAAGGATTTTGACGGAAGCTTTCTATAACACCCACGATGCAGGATCGTCCACCGCCTGCATAATCACACTCGTCGGCGACGTACGTATATCTATTCTCTACTAATTTATTGACTCCTCGTGAATTATTGAAATTGGGTTCGGTTTGTTTCTAGAGTTTTGAACATTCTTGAAAATGCCGTGCGCCCATTTATGTACTGTGTATATATGATGATGGTTTTTGGTATGTTAATGTTACAGTGCTTACATGCGGTGAACATTGGAGACAGTGGATTTGTGGTGATCAGAGATGGAAAGATTGTATATCGATCTCCGGTTCAACAACACAATTTCAATTGTCCCTATCAATTGGGAAATACCGGCAAGGAACGAGATCGTCCTAAGTATGCTATGGTATGTACCCTTTTTGACCCTATTTGAATTTACCCAGATGAAGAACTGCACATACTTAATGGGACAAGCTAATTAATTCATTGTTCACCAAGTTTCCCAAATTGAAATTAAGATGTGGCAAATTTGCATTCTAAGTTAATTTTAGGAACATGTTCTGATTGTTTGTCAAATAAATTCAGGTATTCAAGGTTGCAGTAGAACCAGGAGATGTGATTGTTGCTGCTACAGATGGACTGTTTGACAACTTGTTTGGTCATGAAATTGAGGAAATTGTAAACGTGGCAATTGAAAATTGCGAAGATACTGAAGATATGGCCATGTTATTAGGCGAAAATGCTTTATTCAATGCCCTGGATGATGAAGTTCAAACTCCATTCATGGAAGCTGCTGAAAGGGCCGGAAAAAAACGCTGTAATGGCAAGATGGATGACATAACTGTGATCGTTGCTCGTATTGTTTCATGTTACAACACATATTTCTGAAGTTTTTGTTGGACATTGTAAATAGATTCATCCCACTTGTACGGTTTCTTGTTTTAGAATTGTATGTTTATTCCCAGACAAAGGATTGAAATTCTGGAGAATAGATGCATGTAAATCTATGTCAACGAATAATATCTTCAATTTAATTTCGTCATATTTTGTTTTCTTTCTGTTTCAATTACTCTAAACATCAAGATTGACACAATAGTAAAACCTAAAACCAACATAACCAAATTAATATGATTGGAAATCCATTTCAATGACAACAAATTCAGTGCCACACAATCCATGACATGTTTACTAAACAATTTGAAATAGGGATGTACTTGGAACTGTTATTTGCTTAATTAATTGTAATATCCATATGCATGATTAGGCTATACTAATCAAATTTTTTATAAACATATATAATTAACAGAAAGGTGGCCATGGGTATAAGAAAGGTGAATTTGCATTCAAGTTAATTTTACAAATAGAAGCTGAGTGTTAACTCTGCATGTTAATTGCGTATAATTAAATTCATATTGTATGGTATTTGTTTTAGAATGGTACGTAGAAAATAAACTCACTTTGATTTCATATTCACAAACAAACTATTGCAGTTCTGGAGAAATAGATGCATGTAATTAAATTAATCTCCCTTCAAATTTAAAGTAGGATGATTCATGTCAATGAATAATATCTTCAATTTAACTATATATGTCAAATTTTGTTTTCTTCTTGATTTTTAATTCTGCCTTCGTAATTCAGTGATTGAATTGTTTCACATTGTGTTTCGGAGCTCGACTTTGAACTTTGACAACTATAACTTTTAATTTAACATTCTTGCTGTGAAAAAGAAAAAAAAAAAAAAAGAAAACAAAAAGAAAAGAAAGAACTTCTGCATGTTAATTGCATATAATTAAATTCATATATTGAACAAAATTATTCAGTTATTTGTTTTAGAATGGTATATAAAAAATAAACTCACTTTGATTTCATATTCACAGACAAACTTTCTGTAATTAAATTAATCTCCCTTCAAATTGAAAGTATGATGATTCATGTCGATGAATAATATCTTCAATTTAACTATATATATATGTCAAATTTTTTTATTCCTTAACCTTTTGGCCGTCACCGTCTTCGTAATTCAGTGGTTGATTTGTTTCGCATAGTGTTTGGGAGCTCGAAATAGAACCTAGGCACCCCTAATTTTCAATCTAACATTCTTGTCTTAAAAAAAATAAAAAAAAAACTTTTGGCCACGTCTTGAATTTGAATTAAATCTCGCTATATCACATAACCCCATTACTATACATTCATTGATCTTACTTTGTTGTTTGATCAATTGATCCATTCTCTCAATATTTGTAAATCATAGAAACAATGATTTGAGCTTTGATCAGAAGCTATTTACCGTAACTTATATTAAATAGGTAAAGGCTCCCTAATTCTTCTTTTCAATTTTTTTTTTTTCCGTTCCAAATTAATAACCTATTATTTTTACATGTAAGTCTCATTATAAATTTTTAATATATATATATATATATATATATATGTATGTATGTATGTATGTATGTATGTATATATACTTTTTTATGTTTATTATTTTATACAAACCTAATATAATATATATTGAATTACACCTTTCATAAAAATTCTAATAACCAAAACAGAAGGTCTCTATCTACTATTTCTGTAGGGGTGGCAAAGTTTAACACAACCCGCCAACACAACACGAGTTAAAAGGGTTTGGATTGACCTTAAACGAGTTTAGGTCGCAAACAGGTCAACATGATTAATCCGTTTAGTTAATTGTGTCGTGTTTGGGTTGAGATTTTCAACCCGTGTATCCCGTTTATATCCGTTTAACTATACGTGTCATAAACAAATTTCTATTTAAGTTCCAAAAATATCTAAACGTGTATTTTATAATTTATTATTTTGTAAATTAGAGATTATCTAGTAATTTGGTTAGATTAAAACTTATATTTTTCTAGTATTTAATGTTTGATAGAATATTATTAATAATTTAAATAATAAAATATTAAATTTTAATAAACAGTTCATTAAATGGGTTACATATGACCCGTTTAATAAACAGGTTGTATTAGTGTTAAGAATTCATGACACGATTATTAAATGGGTTATGTTCCAATTAAGTAATTTAGTAAAATACACTTAAATCGACACGTCGCGATTACGATTCGCGAACACAAATTGCCACCCTTATACTTCTGTCACACATTTATTTATTTATATTTTTTTTTTTGGTACCGATGACATTAAACTAGATACTCTCCCTCTCTTACTCTTTATATTTCTTTGGGCGCTGTGCGCTACATATTGCTCCCAAGAAATTAATACATACAGATTTTTGAGCGATGTATAGGCAATGCTTGAATATAAATTTCTTTGGGCGCAAGCCTCTTGCCCTATAAATTGGTAATACAGAGCTTGCTCACAGCGGTCGAACCAAGTTCTTTATCTCGCTGTCCTAAACGCATCCCTTTCTTCTCTCAGTCAATCAATACTAGTTCGTAGCGAACTAAGCCTTCGCGGCTCCAGTCATCCCCGCTCCTCTGTTCCTCTCTATCTCGTGTCTCCGCCGCCATGTCAAGAATCTTGAATATGGTCACCGGTGCGTACTACCTACCGGACGATAGCAAGAAACATAGTCCATTCGGAGAGGATTCTTACTTCATTTGCGACGAAAAATGCACCATCGGTGTTGCGGACGGAGTCGGCGGTTGGGGAAGAAAGGGTGTGGACGCCGGAAAGTATGCTCGCGAACTCATGATCAACTCTCATCTCGCCGTCCAGAAGCACACCAATGGAGTCATCGAGCCCAAAAGGATTTTGACGGAAGCTTTCTATAACACCCACGATGCAGGATCGTCCACCGCCTGCATAATCACACTCGTCGGCGACGTACGTATATCTATTCTCTACTAATTTATTGACTCCTCGTGAATTATTGAAATTGGGTTCGGTTTGTTTCTAGAGTTTTGAACATTCTTGAAAATGCCGTGCGCCCATTTATGTACTGTGTATATATGATGATGGTTTTTGGTATGTTAATGTTACAGTGCTTACATGCGGTGAACATTGGAGACAGTGGATTTGTGGTGATCAGAGATGGAAAGATTGTATATCGATCTCCGGTTCAACAACACAATTTCAATTGTCCCTATCAATTGGGAAATACCGGCAAGGAACGAGATCGTCCTAAGTATGCTATGGTATGTACCCTTTTTGACCCTATTTGAATTTACCCAGATGAAGAACTGCACATACTTAATGGGACAAGCTAATTAATTCATTGTTCACCAAGTTTCCCAAATTGAAATTAAGATGTGGCAAATTTGCATTCTAAGTTAATTTTAGGAACATGTTCTGATTGTTTCTCAAATAAATTCAGGTATTCAAGGTTGCAGTAGAACCAGGAGATGTGATTGTTGCTGCTACAGATGGACTGTTTGACAACTTGTTTGGTCATGAAATTGAGGAAATTGTAAACGTGGCAATTGAAAATTGCGAAGATACTGAAGATATGGCCATGTTATTAGGTGAAAATGCTTTATTCAATGCCCTGGATGAAGAAGTTCAAACTCCATTCATGGAAGCTGCTGAGAGGGCCGGAAAAAAACGCTGTAATGGCAAGATGGATGACATAACTGTGATCGTTGCTCGTATTGTTTCATGTTGTAACACATATTTCTGAAGTTTTTGTTGGACATTGTAGATAGATTCATCCACTTGTACGGTTTCTTGTTTTAGAATTGTATGTTTATTCCCAGACAAAGGATTGAAATTCTGGAGAATAGATGCATGTAAATCTATGTCAACGAATAATATCTTCAATTTAATTTCGTCATATTTTGTTTTCTTTCCGTTTCAATTACTCCAAACATCAAGATTGACACAACGATAATAGTAAAACCTAAAACCAACATAACCAAATTAATATGATTGGAAATCCATTTCAACAACAACAAATTCAGTGCCACACAATCCATGACATTTTTTCCTGCTACTCGGAGTTCACAAGAGTTCACAAGTACGTAAAGATAACCTTAACCATGTATGACAAAGTACAATACTAAACACCATGGATATAGTTGCATATGGTTGCTCAGATGACAACATCCATAGCTAATAGGACTGTTACCGGGACACATTCACATCAGGACTCAGCAGATCCATGTACCACTCATAATCCTGCACAGGATTCATCATGCCCTAATCTGCAGCTGCAACCATCCTCATCCCTTCTGCAACACCATTTTGATCTCTGCTCGTCTTCGGCACCTCATTCACCACAGCCATCATTCCTTGGGACACATTTTGTTCTCTCTTGGCAGCCTCAATCTTGGTTTGAGTATCTTTGATATTCTGATCAAGCAACCAGCCCACGTCATTCAAATCCACCATGCTCAGATTCTGTGGTGCATCTCCTGCTAGGAACCGGTACATTACATAGGTCATCTCCTTGTGGCGATTCTCCCTCTGTAGCTTCTTCAGCTTTCACGATCCTGTGACGAATGTAGCTCTCCTGGCTCATCATCTTCTTGTTTTGTTACATCTCCGTCATCCTCCTGAACCTTGCAAGCATGCGTTAAACACAAGAATGAACATGAATCAAAAGATACAAAAATGATTAAATGTACAACACAATCAGATTTTGCCAATTGACCTTTTTTAACTTGATCTCTAAAGTTCACTAGATGATGGCTTCAAGGTCTTCTGCGTAACTTTTTTTCCACTAAAGCTTTTTGCATATTCCAGTTTTTTATTTATGCAGCAAGAGAAATGATAATTTTGTGGCACAAGTATCAAACCAAGAGGTTTCAAGTATTACCCGTAACCGAGCAACCTGTCCCACTTGCATTTCCAGTACGTCTTAATCCCATCCTGCACAGTAGGAGGGATAAATTCTCCAAGTCAATAAGAAGTAATAACCATAGAACTCTGCCATCGATATATGCAAAATAACCATAGAACTCTGCCATCGATATATGCAAGTGTGCGCGTGTTTAAAACATTATATTTACATGTAACTGATTTACCAAAATTTAGAAGAAAAAAGAAAATTCATTTAACATGAAAAACAAAGTTGCTGTCCTGAAGGAAGGGCTGCAACTTGAGGGTGGCTAAACCCCCTAAAGTTTTGGCCTTGTGCTTCAAACACTTCAAGAAAATAATAGCTTCATCAATAATCAACAATGGTTTTGTCCTTGCTCTTTATGCCTAGAACTATGCTCTTGACAGCTCTCAATGTCTCGCGAATTTAAATCTTCCTTGACTGCTTATTGCCTAGGGTGGAACCCCTGTATCCTCATCTTGGTTCCTGCCTTTAACACAACTTGTCTCCGTGTTATTACCATCCCTCCGGGATCTACCCTGTTTCGATGAACTTGCAACATTTATGAATAAAGATTTGTTGTATGTACCCACCATCAAGCAGTCTCTGCCTTTTAGTTGGGCCAACACAATTGGCAACTTCCTCAATTATTTCCCCAACATATTCATGTTTCTTGAAACTTCCTCTAATCTCTAGTGGAAAATGACCCGTGCTTGTTACTTCATTGTCCTCATCATCATCACCACCCCCATCATTATCATCATCATCAGAATAAAGCAAGGCATTAATTTCTTCTGTGTCTTCACGCATCTCGCTTCCATCAAGCACGTGATTCTCATATGATTTTTCTTGTATAATGGACTTGACTAGATGTTTTTCCTCCACATTAGTTGCCTGTTTTTGGTCACTCAAATCACTGAAATGAGGGGTTTTATAGGTGTAATAACAGGATTCGGCACAGGAGCACTGGGAGGAGTAAGGAACATTCTTGTTTGATCACCAGACTGGTCGAAGATAAGGAACTTCTTCTGATTAGACCCCGATACAGCATTTGGCATAGCCTTGATCCCAACTCCATAAGAAGCAGAGTGCTTGGCCTTAATCCCAACTCCATAAGAAGCAGAGTGCTTTTCTTCCAGATATGAGTATTGAGTGAAAAGCAAGCTCTCCAAGTGAGGAGGCAAACAATGAAGAAACCCCTGAGCTCCTTTTGTTTGGACTGTCTTCATTCAGGTAAATTGGGCAAATTCCAAGCAGATTGCTGCTGATGAAGCCAAGAATCGCCGTCCTTAACCATCCAGCCCAAGCAGTCACCTAAATTGGAGAAGTATAAGGTAACCATTCGTTATATTTTTACAATCAACCAAAAGAGTATCTGCAGCAAGTACCAGCAAGACGTTGAGAAACATTCCAGGATACGGATTGTACTTAAACTTGCAATATTCAAGAACTTTCTGAAATCGAAAAATGTGATAACTCAAATGTGAAAACAATCTACGTGACTGGTTTAAGCAAGTGACGGAAGTATTCAGCCTGTAGAACAGCAAGAGAAGCATGTTATAAGTCATGGTTTATATATAATCATCAACTAGAGAGTATGATTCTTACCCTCACAAGAATTAGTTTTTTTCATATCACAAACATTAACCAATAGAGCAAAACAACTAAAACGGTACAAATAACTAGTGAACCAGTCTTGAACTAACCTGGCAATCCTGCAAAGGTTGAAAGCATGCTATCACTCTAACTATAATAGTTGGTCTCCCAGCAATCCCGTTCTCATGCTTGGCACACCATAACTTCTTTCCACCTTGTATAAACCCCAGAATCTAGGCAAAGAATACTACACACAGAATGAGATATGGCAGACGAAAGAGAGTGAAATTGTCGAAACTAGAAATAAAGATCAACAGCTGATTTGACTTAAAGTAGGATAAAATATGGGAGCTGATATTCACGCTTCAAAATAGTCCTCAAGCACTCCAATCATTTAGTTAATTATTTAAATGACAAAAATAACCTTAAACAATTCCTTTTAGCATAAATGACTTATCGAATCTCTCTCTTTCATCCCTCTCCTCTCTACCTGTGCTTTGGTCATGCAGAAAACCTCTTTAATGGTTTCACCCTGCAGCAAAGAGGTGGCATCTCCAACCTTTATTTTCTACCCTGTATCATTTTTAATACTATTTAAGTCCTGACTGAGTTGTTGTGCTAATAACATATAAAGTATATAACATATTTATATGTATATATGTATAAATTCTTCATACTCTCTTCCCCACTTCTTCCAGAGATCTTTGCTGAAAAAAATTGTATTATTGTCAAAAGTTTATCCTTGCTGACCCAAACACTCCAACTTGCCGTTCTTATCTATTAAGATTAATTGGTTTTGTGTCCCTTCCTACCAATACAAATATCTTATCAAAACTAATCTTCCTAAAACAATTAACCAAATTTATCTGATATGAAACAAGCAGAAAAATTACTTCTTTTTTTTTGACAAATAAAAGTTCACTCCACCCAAGACCAAGAAAGTTGTGCGAAAAAAAATACGGAAGCATGGTATATTAAATTTGAGGGATCTTGAAAAATTTAGATGCTTTTTCTGATTTACAGTGGAAATAGAAGCTCACTTCTTTATAGTTCAAGTTCAGAAAGTACTCATCGAAAGAAATATGAATTGCTTCTCAATATAGATAGCTAGTTGCAATAACCATTTGATTTTTTTAGTTGTATTGTGAACAGAGATGTTGGTGGTTGCTTTGGTGGGATAAGAAGAGTTAGAGAGAGAATGAAACAAAGAAACAAAGAGGCTATAAAGAAAAAAAAAAACAAAGAAGAGAGGAGAGATATAGGGCTATTTTTGTCATTTCCTTTATCTAAGAATAAAAGTGAGGATTATTTTGGTTCTATTTTAGCTCAAGCTAAAATAGAAGGTAACAAAAGAAATTTGAACCTGAAGTGGTTTGGACTTTCAATCTCAGCTAATCCAATGAATACAACAACAGATGACAAAAATTGACGAGTTCCCATGGACAAATGAGTAAGGATCAATATCAAAAGCAAAAACTAGGATTAGAATGATAAGGTAACGATTTACAGAATAACCTTACAATACAAGTTCAAGGAGATAACTTTACGAAACACATCCATTGACATACTCAACCACCACATAGTGTTTCACTTCTATATAAGATTGGAATAGCCACAATGGTATTTCTAGTGTTATATAACCGAATTGCCTACAAAATGATGGCAAAAGAGGACATGAATGAGATTCAAGGATGGTGAAAAAAGTCTTGATTGATAAGTACAAAATCAAAGAAAACAAAAAGACTAATTAAATAAAAAACTATTTTTGCACACTCCATATAAAATCTACTCTAATCCACATTTTAGACACTGAATATTTAGATGGGAAAAACAGAAAGCTATGTTTTGGGAGCACCAAATTGGGGCTTTGGGATTGGAATGAGAGGAAACTCAATTATGAAGTCTGAACTAAATTTACTTCATTTCCAATTTCAAAACATCAATTCGGTTCTCGCAAAAGCAACATAAATGTGAATCCTATTCTTTTATTGTTTTCATTCCAAGATAACTCATAAATTTTAATAAAAAGAAATATACAATTAAGCCTTGTACAATTAGTGAACTGAAAATGGAAGAAAAGAAGAGAGACAGTAGCAAATACTCCATATATTTTGCCTTGTTTGGGTTCACTTAAGTGATCAAAACAATTAAATCTGATACAACAATTTTGCGAACTTGGTTTTTTTTTTCTTTTCCCCAAAAAACAAACAGTAATAGATGTTGACCCTTAAAATATTCCTTTTAGTTTTTCCTTCGACACAAGTAATTACCAAGTGAAAACAAAGAAGAAAAACCCCACAAAATTGACGTACAAAGGGTTCGAAACAACTAAAAATTTAAAAATTGCAAGTACTTACCGTGAAAATCCAAGAAGAAGAATCAGACGATCCCACAGATAGCAAATCGTTGACGCGATGAATTGAATCTTAGGTACTCCGGAAAGAAAGCTTATATGATTTACAATAAAAATTGAAGTTGGGGAGTGAAAGAAAAGAAAGAAAATTATTTTTTTATTATGTATTTGGTTAGGAATTTTTTTTTAAAAGAAATTTGGAAAAGTATATTGTTTAATTAATTTGGATAATGAGATAGTGAAAGAAAAATAATTTTACACATCAAAATTATCCTTATGAATTTAATATTAAATAATAATAATAATATACATAATTAAATAATAATAATAGTAATAAAATAATATACATAATTAAATTTCCCTTATGAATTTAATAATAAGAATAATTATAATAAAATAATATATACAATTGTATTTATGAATAAATATACATGTCTAATAGTTGTCTCTTTATATAATTTTTTTTATTGTTATTGTTATTTTATTATTTTGGAAAGTTTGTATTATATATTAGGACTCTGTTATTAAATTAGTTTACTTTGTTTTGTAATTGTAATGAATAATTTTAATTTAAAGAATAAGAGAATTATAAGTGATATAACCAAATTAGGAGTATTAATTTGTGTAAGAAACGCATCTTTTGTGAGTATGAAGAAGAACAAAGAGAAACAACTTACAAAGGTATAAAAGAAAACTAATATATAATGCGCGTGTTTTATAGAAAAACATTTTAAGAAAAATCAAGCAGTTGCAGGAATATTATTTTCCTTTTCACGCTAACAAAACTGCTAAAAAGAAAAGAAAAATTTTAAGCGGTAGCATCTTATTCCTTACGTGATGAAAATAATATTCACTCACAATATAAATGTATATTGCAAATAAAGTAAATAGTGAGTTTAGAGTGACACCAGATTTTTAGCGAGGAAACCCTGATCGATAGAAGAGATAAATCGTTGTGGCAAAAACCTCGTGGATTACGTCCAGAGCAAAAAGATCCACTATATATGAAACAAAGTACAATCGACTCTGACTCAGGTTCACACCTTATCGCTGACGATCCCTGACTTTGCGACTTCCTTGTCCAACAGTTCTCGACCTCAGGCTTATTCCTGATCTTCGTAGAAGAATTGCTGACAGATCAACCAACACTCCATGATTATCTTGATCCTTTCAAAGTGTGATCTTCTTCTCATTTTAACAGATTTTTTGAAGTTTTCAAGAATTCTGCTTAATTTACGATCAATAGGTAAGAAATCTTCAATCACGCCAATCCCGATCAAACAATGAACAAACAACCTAAAACACTATGTGTATAATCGTGTGCTTTCAAAACTAGAAAAACAATAAACTCTCAAAAACTCACACAAAAAGGCTTTCTAGGGTTATGAAAATATTTATGCAAAAGCCTTTTGAGTGCAACGACTAGTTAGGGCTTTCGGTGGGCTTTGTGTTGGGTGCCTTGTTTGGGCTTGACATCAAGAACCCTTCCAACCGCGATACCTCAAATGCCTACTTGGCATTTGGCATACCATTAAATATGTCAAATTTGGCATATATCAAAAAGCACTTTGCTAAATAAAATTTTTCCATTATTTTAGTCTATGAATCCCACAAACAATTCAAATTCGGCATATTGAGTATCTCCAATCGAAACTTTAAATATTAATAAATTTGACATATTGATTAGAGTAAAACAAAATGCCATAAGTCAATTTGTCACATCATACCTCAAATCAATTTGAGGTACGAAATTTGAAGCATAGTTGGAGATGCTCTTAATTACTAAATATTCCATTTATACGCATGCTAAATTAAATAGATATTCTCTGGCTAAATTAAATATAAAATTTAGACTCAAATATTCATATGTATCCTTACAAAATTAAATATAAAAATATTTATTGATTTTTAAAGAATAATTAATTTTTTATACATAAGTTATCATGTATTCTTCAGAAGAATTTTTAATTGAATTTAGATTGAATTAATTATCACTCATAATACATTATAATTAACTAATTAACTAACTAAAACTTTAAGAAATATATAAAAAAAACTTGCACGGCGCCATTTGATATGCGTGTATTTATGGACTTGTCGTTGTCAAATACACTCCATATCAAGATTAAATACTTATAACCATTTAAGTAAAAATGTCTAATGGCAAGTACGGTCGAACCACGCATTTAAGTGAGTTTCTATTTTCGAACAAGAGTTTTTAAAAACATTGATTTTGAGATTTGTCACGAACTACGGAAATGAAATTATAACTCTAAAACATTAAACACTTAAATGAGAATCAACAAGAAATGAAAGCATGTAAATTAAACTAACTTACTTAAATTTAAATGAGAATAAAACTTGTGAAAATAACTTGTATCAAATTAGTAAAAGCTTTAAGAAAAATTACATAAGGAAATAAACTCTCAATGAAAAGTACAACTATCTCTAACTCTCTAACTCTCTCTCATCTCTATCTCAAAGTGTGCAATTTATAGCCAATGGGAGTAACCTACTTGTAGGGTTTCCTCTTCATTTCCTCACGTCACCTTTCCTACTACTCACTTCACTGACC